ATCTTGCTAGCTATACATCAGACAAGAGACTGATAAACAGACTACACAGGGAGCTCAAAAAACTAAAGTCCCCAAAAATCAATGACCCAATAAAGAAATAGGCAACTGAACTGAACAGAACTTTTTCAAAGGAAGAATTCCAAATGACTACAAATCACAGAAAAAAAATTTCACCATCCCTGGCCATAAAGGAAATGTAGATTAAAACCACACTAAGATTCCAACTCACTTCACTTAGAATAGCTACCATCAAGAACACTACCAACAACAAATGTTGACGAGGATGCAGGGAAAAAGGAACCCTCATACTCTACTGTGGGAATGTAAGCTTGTGCGACCACTCTGGAAAACAATATGGAGGCTGCCATATGATCCAGTAATACCACTCCTAGGGATGTACCTGAAAGAATGTGACTCAGGTTATTACAAAGGCACCTGCACACCCATGTTTATTGCAATACTAGTCACAATAGCCAAGCTATGCAAACAGCCAAGGTGCCCCACAACCAATGAATGGATTAAGAAAATGTGGTACTTATTCACAATGGAATTTCATTCAGCCACAAAGAATGAAATTTTGACATTCACAGATAAATGGATGGAACTGGAGAACAGTATCTTAAGTGAAGTTAGCCAAGCTCAGAAGGCCAAAACTCACATGTTCTCCCTCATATGGATTATAGACCTAAAACAAATGCACAAATACTATTGGACCTGGGTTACACATTAAGAGGAGACCGCACATGGGAGGAATAGGGAAAGGAAAGGAAAGCAAAAACTTGAAAGCAGTTGATGTGCTCACTGTAGAGGGGTGAATATAGCAATCTTAAACTGCCCAGAGGTCACTATGGGAAGGGGAGTAGGGAGTAGTGAAGAGGTCTGGTAGAGATGAACCAATGTGGGTTGTAATGCATGTCTGCACAGAAACAACACAAGGAATCTCTCTGTATAGCTATCTTTATCTCAAAAGCCATGTTTTTCTAATTATCTTTTGTGTTTTCTTTTACAAAATCTGAGAACAAGAGGGTAGAACACCCAGAGGTGGGGGGTGTGGGGGCAGTGACCCACATAATGTATACACATGTAAGTATATGCAAAAACAATAAAATTAAAAAAAAGTAAATAATAAAAATTTGAAAAATAAATATTTCAATTATCAAAACACAGCATATTCTACATTTTGATGTATTCATTCCTATCTACTTTTTTCCTAATTGATAATGCTTTTACATCATCGTGCTTCATATACACATAACTACTGTTAGGATTTACACAAAGCTTTACAATGCTTAGGATTTATCTTTAAGTTAAAGGTCTGGAAAGTGCAAATACCTGTCAATTGGGGACACTTTTAAGCCTTTACTGGAATTGCCATCTTGAGTTTTCATGCTGTTGTTCCAGTTTTGACACTTACCAGCAAAATATAAAATTACTTAATATTTTACTATCCCCTGGTCAGTATTCAGTTAACAAATATTTAATATACAGCTTCTGTTTTTCTGGATCCTGGAGACATAAGGTGAACAGTATCACACATTTTCATTTTTCTTCATGAATCTTACAGTCCAGGTTGTAAAGCAGACATTAATTATATAATTATACAGATATAGAATTATAATCATGAATGATAAAAGTGAACATCTGTTTAATAGCAGTGGTAGATGCATGGGTATACACTGTAGTGTTTTCTATACTTTTTAATTATTTAAATGCTTCAAAATAAAATAATTTTGATGTTTAACAAATAAATTAAACCTATGATGACACCATAAAAGCATCTAAAGGAGGAATTTGTCCTTGCTTGAGGTGTCAGGAAAGTGTCCCTGAGGAAGTGAAGTATTGATTGCCCAGCTTGGGAAGAGGAAAAAGCTAACTAGGCAAAGATGTGTGCAAGTGGTGCATTCTTGAGCAGGTGTGCTGGGGCATTTTTATGCAGGTGTATTTGAGACAGCTAAGGTAAAGGGGACAGGATAAATGTGCAAGGTTGTGAATTGCTTGTAAGATACCTAGGTGATGCTCCAGGAAAAGGTTGGGGAAGGGGGGATAGTCATAAACAGGTCAACAGAAAGGATGAAGCCTAATGATGTGGAATGTATACATAATGTGTACATAACACATGGGATATTCACAGTGAAATAGTAAAAGGAAGAAGAGTGAGGAGCACTGTGGAGAAACAGCCTTACAAACTGGACAGCTCACTAGGCGAAAGACAACACAAGCATCATGTCCAGGGGACCAATGCTATTCACGGAAAGGGTAAAGTCGGGTAGAAACTCCTTTTGGCTGGAGTTGGTGGTGGGACAGTGACAGTGATACTGCAGGGGATTTAGACTAACCATACTGAATTTGCAATTTGTGTGAGGCCTTCACAGAGTAGAAATTTATGGGTAATGTGGCCAATGATAAAGTAGGATGTATTTTAGAAACAACTTTTAAGAACTTTGATCCTTTCTAACCCTTGTGTTATGACTTTGTATCATACATTCACCTCTGTGTATACAAGATTTGGGTTCAGGCATGGCTGTGGCTAATCTTTGAAATTTTAGGGTTTTTATTTTTGCCTTTGTTATTGTTTTTAAACAGATTGGCTTACATTTCATTGTAAGTTCCTAAGAGGTTTTAGTTTAATTGTTCAATTTATGAAGGCCACGTATCCTGGCTGTTATGTGGGCAGGACCCAGCACTCTGTACTCATGTTCAGCCTCTAGTCTTACGCTATTAGGTATGTACCCTTTGTCAAATGACCTAATTGCTCTGTATTGATTTCTCATCCTCAAAATTGATTCCTGTTAAGTAGAATTATACTGGTGAGTCAATGGATTAACCATAGTATTTTCTGAGAATAGTGGCTGGCACCTAAGAAGAATACAATATTGTCATATTTTTAAAAATAAAAATAGCATGTAATGTGAAACTAGATAAATCAAACCAATTTGCCTTTTTTTTAAATGCAAAGGGAGCCCCCAAACAGACCTTTGTGCTTTATTTTTACTCTGTCAGCAGAAATGAGGCATGGACTCTTGTGATCTAGTTAGCTTCACTCCAAAAGTGCTAGCTAAAACACAGCATTATTTAAACATAACCAATGTCTGCACATGAAGGTTGCACAGTAAAGTTGTCAGTCTCTAAAACTCTCTGTATGTCTTCATGGCAATCCAGCAATTTGCCCCCACTTTGTTGCTTGTGTTTTCTTCTCCTGTGCTCCCTATTTTTAAAGAAGAGCAAAAGTAAGATCCAAAAAACTCAGGAAAGAAGTCTTCAGTAGACAGAGTTGATAGCCACTCTTACTGGGTGATGAGCAGATGAAGGCACAATAGTAATTTTTTTCACTGGTGCACATCTTTAAAATTATGTGATTTTGAATACTAAAGAGCAAAGAATATATGCAATACTATCCCAATAATCATTTAGGCGTTCTTTTTAAAATCCTAGTCTTTTAAGATCATTTATCTGGTGATGTGTAAGTCACACTGATGTGATATGGTATTGTTTATACTTTGTTTTCCAGAGGGTTTTTTCCCTAGTATCATACCATTATTGAAGCAAATGTGTTCAGTGTAGTTGACATTCATAGAAACAGTTACTGACATTCTTTTTTGTGTCTCAAGGACTAATCCAAAGCCCAAGTTTATTCTGTTTTGGGTAGCTTTGCATTTCTGCATGTACATTATTTGTGTTCAACTGTTTGCAAGTCTGTAGTTATTACAGAGGCCGGGTTTCACCATTCAGTAGCATCCTACTGTTTGGAAAGCATGATCATATTTGCATGTCCCCTTCAGCCATTGTAGAGAGAAGCCAGTCACCATGGCAAGGATTATGATGCCTCACTCCTATCTACTGATTAGGATGGTCTTTGAAAAGCCACATGCAAATATTTATTTTCAAAGATACAGCTGGCTCTTTGGGAAGCAAGGTTACTAGGGGAGTTTCTTTTACTATGAATCATCAAATGAGAAGTCTAAGACATGTGATTCCTCTTTTGTTATGATAGCTTTCACTGCCCTCTACTTCATGCTTGTTGATCAAGAATCAGATTATGATTCTGGGTGTAGTGGTTAAGGCCTATAATCCCACCTATTCAAGATCTCAGCTAGAGGCCAGATGGACAAACTTAGCTCAAAATCCTATCTGAAAAACAAATAAAAGCAAAAAAACTGGGGGCATAGCTCAAGTGGCAGAGGATCTGAGTTCAAGCCCCAGAACTGTAAAAAAGGAAAAAGAAGAATTAGATTCCATTGTATAATTTGACTGTCCTTTTCATTTATACAAATTAATAGTGTTTGTCTGTTCATTCTAGCTTGTCCAGAGTACTGCCTCAGAGCGAGCTCCCTGCGTAGGTTTGTGGTTTGGATTTGATTATGTTTCTTTTTGGTTTTGGTGTGACTGGCTTACAAATGTGAAGCACCCGCCCTTCCACAGGGCACCCCCAGCCCTTCTGTGTAGTTGGTTTGCTTCTGTGCCTCACTCTGACTTCAAAAGTGGAGCCATCCACCTTCATGTGGCTCGTGTCTGAACACCTTCTATTCAAGTTAGGGGGACATTCTTCAAATTGGAGCTTTTCTAAGGATTTGTATGAAATCCATTCAGGGGTTCAATTTAACGAAAAGGAAAACTCCATGTAAAAGCCCTTAAGAAAGTTTCTTAGAGTCACAGCTCTGCAGAACTCCTGAACTGCTATCCTGAATGGCAAGTATCAGGTTGTATTAATTATAGTTTACATAATAATTAAATTAATAGCTTAATTAGTTTGATAGTTTGAATAAAGAATTGAAACGTACATAAATTAGTTCCATAAAATACAACAGTGTATTTCCTTTAGCTTTGATGATTGAGTTTTCATTGTTAAAGCACAGATGACTCTGGGAGACATAAAATAAATGTGGTATTACTACAAAGTGTCCTCTTACTTCTGGAAAAGAAAGATAAAGAAACAGAAAAGAAAAATAATAACTCTATGTTGACACATTGTGAGGCTTATGATTACTGTGTTTGTCTTTCAGATCCCCAGCTCAAGGGCATAGTGACCAGGTTATATTGCAGGCAAGGCTACTACTTGCAAATGCACCCTGATGGAGCTCTCGATGGAACCAAGGATGACAGCACTAATTCTAGTAAGTGACAACTTCAGGCTGCCAGTTGACTAACTTGGGAAAGATATCCTCATAGAGATACACTTGCAAATACCTGTTATGTTGGTTTATTTTTACAAAAATTAGACACCAGTATGCCATTTCTAACTTTACCAAGACCATGTGGTTGACAATACTAATGCAGGAGCAAAATAACCCTGTGTGTTCAGGACAAGTATAAGTCAATAGTTTTGCTTATTTCACACAGTTGTCATGCCCAGAAAATTATTGTTTCTTTTAATTTCATTATCATAAAAGTCATGTAAATATACTAGTATATTGAAATGAAAACCAGTAACATGTTCTCTCTGAATGTATTTTTATTAGTTTATTAATGAAAATCATTAATTATCATAAATTAATCATTACTAATGATTAATTTAAGAGCTATAAGGATTAAATTGTTTCAAATAACAGAAATGTAATTTTTCAATTTTTTTGTATTTTATAAGAAATAATAAGAAAGATGTCTTTCTTATAGAGAGGAAATGCAGGCTATGTACCTAAATGCATTGTACATAGTAATGTTTAACTACATTACAGAATTGGGTCTGTGATAATATATTTTATTAAAAATTTTAATACCTGTCTTCCTTTTACTATTTCTTTATATTTAACTTTTCTTTATTTGATCTGTCTGGTGATCTCCTTACTCAACTGTTTTCCTTTACTGTCACTTGACTCCTTCCAATTTAGTATTAGTTCTAAAGTAGACACAGTTTTACTGCTACAGTCAGTGAAACAAAAATTGCTGCTTTCTTAGAAACATAATCAAATGAAATATCCATAGTACATCAGGAATAGATGTGAATATTCCCATCCATTGTTTATTTATTCTTTATAAAATATCATTCCATAAAAAGAAGGGAGGATTTAAATACACATAATAAAATTATAGGCACCCCTTGTTTTAAAGTCTAGTAATGAAATTTTCAGTAATAGATTTTGAGTCATTAATGCTGTAAAGTATTAAAGTATTCTACCTTTACACTTGATGTTTCTATACAAAAAATCAATATCTTCCCAATCATTGTGTTTACTTTTATAAATTTTGGTCATTGCTTCACTTTTTAATTTTCCTTCAATTTTTTTTATTTTTCCTTATTTGCATTTTCCTTCTTTTCAATATTTAATGTTTTATATTATATCTTCCTTCTTATTTTAAAAATACTCCCTAATTTATTCATGGGCTCATTTTTTGCCTTATAGTCTCTTTTTATTTAGGAAAAGAGAAGATTAAAAATAAGGCACATGAAATAGAGAAGACTTTTTTTACAACCTATGTCGAACATTGTTTATTTGTTGGGATTTTGTTATTAGGGTGGACCTATTTAAATGATCAATACTTGACCATCTTTGACCTACAAAAGATGTCAGTTTCTTATGGTTCAAATTTAATTCCTATTTATCTGCTCATTCTCTTTTCCCATCCATAATGCTTTACCCATTCTTTGACCAAAAGACATTTCCTGTTCCTTATATCATATAGTTATGGCGAGGCTCATGGAGCATAGAGATAAATTCCAGTACCTTCAATGTTCTCTGATTGTCTTTGGACGGAGTCTCATTGAACATGAGAACTAGTTTTCCGTGGCTTCTCACTGTATGAGCTATAAGGTGCTGAAATCTTTAGAGAATAGTGTCATCCATATTATGACAAAAAACTGTTTCAAAACTACTGCTGCAAGAAAATGCTGCTTCGTGGGACTACTTAGAAAAGGCTGTTATTCAAACAAGGTTTTATGAATTTTCTCTAGCTTTGCTCTTTCTTTTGGGGGTCTGTAGGGGCTAAGGCCAAACAACCTGATTGCCTTTAATGATAAGAGTTAATGTCACATTTAGATGTCTCAAAAAGATACTATCTTGTAAAAGCTTTACACTTGAATCAGTAGCACAGTAACGTCTAGATTATGAAAGTGCAGGTGTCGACAGTGTATACATACACACAAAGTTGGGTCTGAAGATTATCAAAGACTAAACTGTAAGCCTCACTTACTGAACAGTACTCTACCTTCTGTCTTATAAATGCCTGTGGCATATTCCTTCTGTCTTGTATCTATACTGGAAGGAGCAAAAAACACTGGGCAACTCTTCACAGGCCCTCTATTCCCCTGAACACGGTTGAGGAGCAGTCCTAAGAAGAACACAAGACAGGAGCCCCAGCCTAAGAGCAAATCAGAAAAGACTCACAGAGGCCCCACTGAAGGGACTTGAATTCCTATGCAACAGTCTTGTCCATAGCTTCTTTTCTTCTGCTTATTTTGCATTTTATATGCAGTGTAAGCCAGTTAGGTCAGTTTTGTTACCATTTCAATTATTTGCAAAGATGTTTAAAGACTGAAACAAAGGTTCTCCTCTCAGAATAGTATTCATATTGTGGGACTTAAAATGTAATAAAAATTTGCAGGGTTATAGTGAACCTGTAAAAGAAATGGGAATTGCTATTAACTCCTCTTTTGTGTACTGTTACCCTTTTAAGTTGAAAACCATCTTTTTTAGGGTAAACTTTAAGGTTGTTTTTCCTCTGGAGAATTATGGTAGTCTTTTGAACCTTAGGGCAATTGTTAGCAATGAAATGAATATTTTTTCAGAAATAGGACTACGCATTAAATATGCTGACTTGTCCATACTGACATAGCACTTGAATTTAGCAACTTTTTATCATGAGGGAATCTTCCAAGTACAAGTTAATGTATATTCCCTAATTAAAATATAGCCCTTTTAATTTAAGGAGGGTATGATATAATAATTCATAAATGCTTCCTTTTTAATAATTTCCTGACCACAAGCCAAGGATTATTCATCCACAAATAGAAAAAAATGAGAAATAACCTAAACTCACCCCTAAAGTCACCAAATAACAAAACTGAACCCTTGAACCTTCAAATCTTTATGATTTGAGTTCAGTGAATATCCCACTAAATACAACATTATTTAGGAAGAAAAATTGGTAGCACCCTGCTAAGCTGCCTTTTGTCTAAAATTTTAGAGTTAAGAAGAGGTAAAAGGGGAAATTGCCTAGTAAACCTTGATACCCTGTCTTCCAGGGTTTCAGACTGAGACCTAGAGATCTCTGGGAAGGAAAAAATGAATAGGAAGTCATTGATGATGAGTAAATGGTCCAAGTGGAAAAGATCCTGTAGCAACTTGATTGCTTACCAGTGGTTGCCATGCTCCCTAGACAGCTCCATGAAAGGAAGGGAGCGCCCATGTTGCTTCCTTGCCACACTCATTTCCAGAAGTATAAATTCCTTTAACATTTTGCTAAGTGTCAGCATTACCACAACTTCAGCATTTACTAAGGAGTGGCTTTTCCTTCCTTCTAGTGTGCCTTTGGATATGCTAGGGATTCTTTTCTGTGTTCTCAAATCGTATCTCCATTACCAAACTTAATAGATACCACAAGCCAGATACAATCATATAGATAACAATACACTAATAACTACGGCATTGTTAAAACCTCACAAATAATTCCTCTCACCCTGGAAATGCTCAACCTGGTAACGTGATGTGCAAAAATTTGTGACCCCACCACACAGGTTTTAGAATGTCAGTTCTCACTTAGACTGCATATTAGGAACTTTAAAAAAATCCTTATGTCCTGAATCTACCCTCAGGGATTCTGATTTAGTTGGTCTGAGGTTGGGCCCGGCAAATTTTTGTTTTGGTACACAGACAGTTTTAATGCTCAGCTAGGGTTAAAAAAAAATCACTGTTGTATGGAGAATAGAATATTGCACAGGATAAACACAGTCATGGGAACATCTTCATTATTCCTGCTCCTCTAGGCTTTGTGACATTGCTTTATAATTTAAAATTCAGAGAGTGGAAAAAATAAGGTCTTAATTAATGCATCTGTGATTTAACTAGCACCTCAGACCCATCATGGTTAACTCCAAAGGTCCTCCACACTACAGTGTTCTGTGGATCCTCTATTTATTATCATTCTATGAATTACAATAATATATTTTATAATTCAGATCCCTATCCCACCTGGAAAAATAGTACAGTTTTTAGTACAGTTATTTTTAAATTATCTTTTAGAACTTTCCCATATCACATTACTTTGATGAGTTCATGATTCACTCACCTTCTAAAATTATATGAACTACTGTACGAAATATATGGCACTCACAAGTACTATAAGTGTATGATTAAAGTAATGAGGTTTGAATTGGTGAGGCTAGATAGGTCATATAGACAGGCATATGATTATGTCTTTATCTCAAAATATTGCATAACAATCAGGAAATAAATAAAATCAGAATTGTCCTATGGTACCCTTTCGAAATATAAGAGAGATGGAATTGTAGACAAGAGGAAACATGGTCTTCTCCCACAAAGAAAGAACACTGATAGTTACAAAGGCAAGGCACCTCCTAGTATTCAACAATGCTACATCATATTTAAAATTAAATCATAGAAATGAGAAAAAAAAAACCCTCTTTCTTCCATAAAGGTATCATAATCTCCCAGAATCCTATAGAAGACAGTCCAATGTTAGTTGTAAAGTAAAAACTAATATCCAACTAACCACACATTCATACCCCAGGCATTCTTCCTGGAGTAATTATCCTGCTATTTTCCTTTCATTATTTGTGAGGCACAGACATCTTCTGATCTTGGGAACAGTAACATGTAATCATTGGAAGAGAGGGTGTAGCTTTCTCCTGCCTGTGAAGAGAAAACATGTCCTTGAGAAAAAAATAGAGCATGAATATAAGTTGGTTTTTAATTATGCACTGAGTAGACTCAGAATGAAGTCACAATTGCCCACAACTGTCAAGGCATGTGTCCTTTGTGAAACAGATGAACACCAGAAGTTAAGATGTTTTATTTACACATATACACCAGTATCTTAGTGTCTTCAATGCCTGTTCTGGCCTTGTGCTATTGCTTAAAATTAGATTTGAGTTAAGAAGGGCTTGAGTGGGGGCATATAACCTCTATGTGGATAATTAACAATTCTCTTTTAAATGCATCTATAGATCCTATACCTTAAAGAACCAAAAAACTCTACTCAGAAGCTCCTAGACAGCATCAATAGCTATAGCAAGGTAGCAGGATATAAAATCAACATAGAAAAATCATTAGCATTTCTATACACTAATAATGAACAAATGGAGAAAGAATATATGAAAACAATTCCATTTACAATAGCTTCAAAAAAAAATCAAATACCTAGGTGTAAACCTAACAAAGGATGTGAACGATCTCTACAAGGAAAACTATAAACTTCTGAAGAAAGAGACTGAGGAAGACTATAGAAAGTGGAGAGATCTCCCATGCTCATGGATTGGTAGAATCAACGTAGTAAAAATGTCTATGCTCCCAAAGTAATCTACATGTTTAATGCAATTTCCATCCAATTCCAATGACATTCATTAAAGAGATTGAAAAATCTACCGTTAAATGTATATGGAAACACAAGAGGCCATGAATAGCCAAGGCAATACTCAGTCAAAAGAACAAAGCTGGAGGTATCACGATACCCGACTTCAAACTATATTACAAAGCAATAACAATAAAAACAGCATGGTACTGGCACAAAAACAGACATGAAGACCAGTGGAACAGAATAGAGGACCCAGATATGAAGCCACAAAACTATAACCAACTTGTCTTTGACAAAGGAGCTAAAAATATACGATGGAGAAAAGACAGCCTCTTCAACAAAAACTGCTGGGAAAACTGGTTAGCAGTCTGCAAAAAACTGAAACTAGATCCATGTATATCACCCTATACCAATATTAACTCAAAATGGATCAAGGATCTTAATATCAGACCACAAACTCTAAAGTTGATACAGGAAAGACTAGGAAATACTCTGGAGGTAGTAGGTATAGGTAAGAACTTTCTCAATGGAACCCCAGCAGCACAGCAACTAAGAGATAGCATAGATAAATGGGACTTCATAAAACTAAAAAGCTTCTGTTCATCAAAAGAAATGGTCTCTAAACTGAAGAGAACACCCACAGAGTGGGAAAAAATATTTGCCAGCTATACATCAGACAAAGGACTGATAACCAGAATATATAGGGAACTTAAAAAACTAAATTCTCCCAAAACTAATGAATCAATAAAGAAATGGCAAGTGAACTAAACAGAACTTTCTCAAAAGAAGAAATTCAAATGGCCAAAAAACACATGAAAAAATGCTCACCATCTCTAGCAATAAAGGAAATGCAAATTAAAACCACACTAAGATTCCACCTCACCCCTGTTAGAATAGCCATCAGTAGCAACACCACCAACAACAGGTGTTGGCGAGGATGAGGGGAAAAAGGAACCCTCTTACACTGCTGGTGGGAATGTAAAGTAGTACAACCAGTACTAGTTTTTTTCCAGGACTGGAAAAAAATCTGGAGGCTACTTAAAAAGCTAAACATTGATCTACCATTTGATCCAGCAATACCACTCTTGGGGATATACCCAAAAGACTGTGACACAGGTTACTCCAGAGGCACCTGCACACCCATGTTTATTGCAGCACTATTATGGAAACAGCCAAGATACCCCACTACTGATGAATGGATTAAGAAAATGTGGTATCTATACACAATGGAATTTTATGCAGCCATGAAGAACGAAATGTTATCATTCGCTGGTAAATGGATGGAATTGGAGAACATCATTCTGAGTGAGGTTAGCCTGGCCCAAAAGACCAAAAATCGTATGTTCTCCCTCATATGTGGACATTAGATCAAGGGCAAACACAACAAGGGGATTGGACTTTGATCACATGATAAAGTGAGAGCACACAAGGGAGGGATGAGGATAGGTAAGACACCTAAAAAACTAAACTAAAGCAGATACTTTAAAGCAACTGAGGCCAATAGGAGAAGGGGACCAGGAACTAGAGAAAAGGTTAGTTCAAGAAGAATTAACCTAGAAGGTAACACACATGCACAGGAAGTCAATGCAAGTCAACTCCCTGTATAGCTATCCTTATCTCAACTAGCAAAAACCCTTGGTCCTTCCTATTGTTGCTTATATTCTCTTTTCAACAAAATTAGAGATAAGGGCAAAATAGTTTCTGCCGGGTATCGAGGGGGTGGGGGAGTAAGGGAGGGGGTGGAGGAAGGGGGAGAAATGACCCAAACATTGTATGCACATATGAATAAAAAATAAAGAAAGAAAAATAAATGCATCTATAACAAAATCTCCAACATCGTCAAGTAGGTATCATAAGAATGGTATTAGAAGACACGACTCTCACCGTGTGACACTGCCATGGAAATTCATGACAGTGGTAGTAAGATTTAAAAGTACCAGTTTTAACATTACTGTTCTACTGTGTAAAATATATAGTAATACTTCATTAGCAAGGGAATAAACAAAACATGGAAACACAAATGCTTCTTATCAATTAGGTGGGTAACATTGAGCACTTTGCCTTTTTCATTTTTACTCACAGTTTTATAAAATATTAACAAAGAAAATTGTGTTACTAAAAGGTGCATGTCATTCAGTTTGATTAGTTCTTCCCAAAGTTAGCCCATTGGCTGGTGTCCACCTTCTCTTGACTTTGCTTAGCAAAGTTTTGCAAAAGAAATTTAGTTTTGGAATTACCTTTTTAACTTCTGGCATATAGAACATTGCAGTAGCAATTCACAGCTTCTATATGAAAAAATAAGAATCAGCATTTAACTTGGACTTTTCAAACTCTCTTCTTGAGAATCTGCACAGCTGATTCCTTCTGGAATGTAATGGCGTCTGAGACTGTGATACTGGAACCATGTTACAGGCTTGGTTGTGTTTATTAGTCCCTCAGTCTTCAGTATGCTGTAGGCAAGACTGCTAAGCAGATTTACAAATGAAAGCTGAAGTGCTAATTTTGCCCATGGCAGAAACTTCTTCATTATAAAAAGAAATTAAAGTTCTTTAATGAGAACTTCTTAGATAAAGATGATGTTTCTTAAAAGAAGAAAAAACGTTATTGCAATCAATGCTTTGCTTCTTCCTGCCCACTCATGACGGACTACGTTTATCATTGCAGCACTGTTCAACCTCATCCCAGTGGGACTGCGAGTTGTTGCCATCCAGGGAGTGAAGACAGGGTTGTATATAGCCATGAATGGAGAAGGTTACCTCTACCCATCAGTAAGTAACATGACAAAAGTCTTGGCTACCTGTTCAGTGTTTGTACAACAGCAGCAACAACAACAAAAATCAAAAGTCCAATCTACTGAGTCTACCATTTTTGTATTAGTATTTGGTCTTTATTAGAATATGGTAGGAGCTGTTTTATTAGTCACCAGTTTGATAATATGAATATATCTAAAGGAAGAAAAATTTTGACTTGTGCATTTATCATATGAACTGTGTGTCTACCATATTTTTAAAAAATGACAGCGTGTACAGAAAATAATATTGAAAGAGGTAGTGTTAATATAGGCTTTTTATCTTTATTTAGAAATACATTTGATTTGTCTTAGAGAATTTCTTGTAATTTTTAAAAAATTCCATGGATTTTTTTAAATAAGTGATTTTTAATTGATAGAATAGTTGTGAATATTTAGAGGGTATGATGTGATATTTTGATCTCTATATATGTCATAGAAAGATTCAGTCCAGCAGATTAACATATCCATCCATCGTCTCACCAATATTAATTTTTTATAGTGAGAATGTTAAAAATCTGTTATCAATTGTGAAATATACATTATTATTAAGATAGTCATCATGCAGGAAAATTGATTGCTGAAATTTATTCTTTCAGTCTAACTGAAACTTTCTACCCTTCTAGTAACTGTGGATTGAACCAGGGCCTTGCATTTGCTACCTGAGCACTTTGCCACTTTAGCTATGCTCCCAGTCCTTTGGTTTTTATTTTTGTTTTTGAGATGGGGTTTCACTAACTTTGCTCTAACTAGCTTCAAATTCACAATCCTCCTGCCTTCACCTCCTCAGTGGCTTGAATTACAGGTGTGTACCATCAAGCTTGGCCACTTTCTACACTTCAATCAACACCTTGTCTTTGACCACCCCTTCTTCTATCTCTCAGTCTCTGCTAACTACCTTTCTAGTCTATAGCAATGAGATTTATGGTTTTTGATTCCATGTAGAGTGTATGATCTCACTTATATGTGGAATCTAAAATGTTTAGTCTTCAAAAAGAGACATTTAATGTGAAAACTAAAGGAGAAAAGAGGAGAGTACAGTTGTCCCTCCTTCTCTGTGGGAGCTTGGTTCCAGGATCCCCCATGGGTACCAAAATCTGTGGATTTCAAGTCCTTTTCATAAAATGGCATAGTATTTGCAGGTAACTATACAAATCTTCTTACATGCTTTAAATCATCATTCAATTACTTGTAATTCTAATGTGATAGGAAGCTATGTGAGCACTTGTTACACTGTATTGTTTAGGGAATCATGGCAAGATTAAGTCTGCACGTGTTTGATGCCAGCACAACTTCTTTTGAGTATTCTTGGTTGGTCTGATTAGTTGAATCCATAGATGTTGAACCTCTGGAAAGAGATAGCCAGCTATATCTGTTTTAAAAATAAGAATTCATATAGATTAAATTTTGGACTGGAAAATATTTATAATTTTAATGCACATGTTTCAGGTAAGTCTAAGCATGACTTTTTGTTTCACTTTAATATTTATTAGAAGTTTAGCACTTTTCTAACCACATAGTCTATACTGGAATATTTCTATTTACAAAAAAATCTCATTTAGATATACTATATCCGTATATTGTAATACAGTTAGAATTTGTTTCTTTTGCTGGTCCAAACAATAAGCTCTTAAATGAAGGTGCTTCTTTCTAAAATTCCTTAAGCATAAATTGATAGATTAAAGTTGTAAGCATTTTAAATGTATTCTTCTTTGAATTCACTTTTCATGTTCATATAAATTCTTTACAAGTCTGATGTTATTCAATATCACCAATGAGAATAGCTGTGTGTAAGCATAAACTCATATATATGAGTATTTGTGTATATAAATCTTGTATATATTACACAGAATCTTTGGGGCCTTCCATGAAATGTGATCTACTTTCCTCAGCAAATCTGGGAATCCCTGTCAAAAAGAAATGAGATTGGAGCTGTGAATTCCCCTCATGTTGAGACTAAAGACAGCAGAATCCTTATCTAAGATCCCTGAAGGGTGTTCCTGCTCAGAGAACTAGGTCTTAAATTATGCAAATTGCATTCTGCTGCTGCAGATGAAGCCGTAGCACGTTGTGAGCAAGAGCAAGCTAGAATTTCTTTCCAACATCCCACTTAGAAAACACCAGTATGGATAAAGCTCATTCTCTATAGATGACACATTTCAGATGGAATTCAATTTTACTGATTTGACACTTTTTTTCTGTCATTTTGTTTCTTTACTTTTCCCTCAAGTAACCTTTGAGAATTCAAATTACTAGATACCAGATCCCCCATAGCCTCTACTTCGTTCTTTCTTTTGGTAATTTAACACATGGTTGAGCTCTGGTATGTATGCTTTTGGGGGGGGGTGGATATTTGTTTTATCATTTTGCCTCTGAGGGAGATGATTTTCTGTTTTTTTCTCATGAGATTATAAATTTATACCATTCTTCTTTAAAGATAGGGTATATCATCTTAAGTATGTGTCTTAGCCTAGAATGAAATTAAGGTATGTATAGCACAGTCTAAGCAGAAGTGGAAGGGCACTGCCTTGCCTAGCTTAGTTCTGTGCGTGTTACGTGTGACTTCCCAGCCCTGGCATCAGATCTCATGAAGGAACTGTGGCACCTGTGCAGGCATGCTAGTAATAATTTCAGCTTCTTACTTGATTCATTTTCTTCTTCTGGTTCTCTGATACTTGGTCTCTGGGCCCCACATGGTGACTTGATTCTCTGACTTACAAATCTTGACACTGTGCTTGAACCCAAGATCTGGTCCTGGATGCTATTCACCCTGCCCATCCTAGGAACTCTCCTCTGCCCATGTGATGACTTTAGCATCCTCAGTCATCTTCCAGGAAAAGGACCTAAATAAAAACTCAGAGTAATTTCAATTATTTGCTAATGTTCCATAGTTAAAGTGCTCTGTTTATGTTGATGTAATAAAATTTGAGCTTCAAATATTTCAGCATGAAGAATATTCATGGTTATTTATTCCATAATAAGTTACTGAGAGCTTAGTAAAGCAAGGATACAGAGTACAATATAACAATTATTTACTATATAATAATAGCCATATTTATGTAATATAGCAGTATTTGTTCACTCTGCTTAGACTATTCCAAGCATGAATTTGCTCCTCCCAAACACCATTCCAAAAGCAAGTACAATTCGAGATGATGAACAGACAGCTTAAGGGTCTGCCCCAAGTTGCCCAGGTAGCAGGTAGAAAAGATAGGAGGTAAGCATAGTTAGTCTGACTCAGGAGCTTACATTTTTAACTGCTTTACTGTACTGTTTCCATGTGCCAGACATTTTCATAATACAGTCTCACACCTACTCTAATAAGAAGCTACAAACACATGGTGATGTAATTAAAACCTTCAGGGGATAGTTCCCTGACAAATAAACTTCATTTCAGAGCAATTATTTAGAAGAATAATTTGAAATATAAGTGTTTCATTTGGAGATTTTGAGTTAAAAAAAGTCACAAAAAAACATATTTGTTGGAGGATAGTTCTATAATATATAGTGAATACTTTCTGGAACTCAAATAAAGTTCATTCTTGAACTTTATTGCATTTAACATTTGAGCTTAAAAAATTTAAAAGCCATGGCAAAAATCTTTAGCCCATCTTAGAAGCTTTGAATTGAGATGAGTAAAAATTTCAAAATAACAGCTCTTAGTCAAGCTCAGATCTAATAAATTAATGAAGATTTAATCTGGGAAAGTGAGTAATCTGTTTTTTGTAGAATACACTAGTGTCTAATATGGAGCAGAATTTGATGGAGAATCGATAGACTTTCCATAAAATAGGTCAAAGTGAATTCTATTCAATGAAAATTATACTAGTGATGTGGCTCCAGGGGTATATTTCTCTATTTCTGTTTGAGGAAGCAACTCACAGAGCCCCTTGCCATCCAAATGAAAATATTCAATGTGTCAGATATTGGTCTCTGGGTGACCAATAAAAGTTATCTTGATTGGAATTTCAATAACTGCATTTTTCTTGCTGAAAACATTTGTTTGCTGTGGAATCTTCAACATGACAATAGTTATTTCTTTTGTACTTATAAGGGTTGTAATATATTATTTGATAAGAGTCTCAAGAGAGTTAATATCACATGTAAACCATTTGCTTGAAGATGTGGTACAAGCTGCAAGGTCATAGAACAGAAACTGACAAATTTTGTTCAAGAATTAGTCAGCATAAACCAAGCACAGTGGCTCACGCCTGTAATCTTAGCTGCTAGGGAGGCTGAGTTTGGGAGACTCGTGGTTTGAGGCCAGTCTGGGGAAAATGTTTAGGAGATGCCTTCTCAACCAATGACTGGGCATAGTGGTGCATGCCTATCATTCCATCTATAGCAGGAATTATAAATAGAGGAATTTGGTCCAGGTTGGCCCAGGCAAAAAGCAAAACCCTATCTCAAAAATAGACAGAGCAAAAAGGGCTGGAGGTATGGCTCAGTGGTAAAGTGTCTGCTTAGCAAGTGAGTTCAAACCCCAGTACCACTGAAGAAAAAAAAAGTATCAGTGAGTTTAAAACGATATTTAGGAAAAAAAAGTGTGTTTTAACCAACTATAAACTATGTATAGTGTGGAGTCGTTTTGTTTTGTTTTTCAAAAACTTTGAAAGGCTAAGAAAACCCCCTTTGGAAAGCCAAGGGTTAGAATGATAATTCCAAACACTAAAGAAAACCTTGGGACTGGAGGCTTGGCTCAAGCGGAAGAGCACCTGCTTTTCAAGAACAAAGCCCTGAGTTCAAACCCCAGTCCCACAACAAAAGAAAAAGAAAAACTTGGAGTGAAAACTTGTTAAACAGCATTCTTCTTCTGGGCAAGGAAGAAATAGTTGAAATCAGAGTGTGCTTCTGATAAGGAGAAGAATAAGGAGAAGAGAAGGAATAAAGGAAAGGCACCTGATAGTACAGTAGACAAAGCCTGAACTTTTAATTTAGAGTATCTGGTTCCCTGATCCACAACCAATGCCTGGGTTACAG